GGTGTAACAATCAATTATATGAAATATTAAAATATGCAAAAATATACTACAGTTAGTATATTCTACAGTGATAGAAACCATGTTAGTGCTGCCTCTCTGGGGTTGGGAAGTGGGCTATTAACTGGGAAGAGGGCACATGGGAACCTTCTGGAGTGCAAGATATGTACTGTCTTGATATTAGCTAAGCATTACAAGACTGACCAAACTGCACATTTGAGATCGGTGCATTCTATCATAAATTATACTTCAAAAATGTAACTGCTGTTCATCATTATTCCTCAGGGTAATACAAATTTAAACCAGAATAGCTAAAAAAACAAATACTGATGAGGGTGTGGAACAACCTGAACTCACAGTCAGTGGGTTAAACATCATAACTACTTTATAAAAAAATGGCAATTTCTTATAAAACCATACTTGTTTTCATCTCAGTAATTATGTATACACACAGACTTATTTAAGAACATTCATAGCAACTTTACTCGTAATACTCAAAAACCAGAAAAGGCCCAGTTTTCCATCAATAGGTAAACTTTTACTCATACTCAGTAATAAAAAGAAACATATGCATAGCTAAATCTCAGAAGCATTTTGCTGAATTAAACCTTACACAAGGTTCCATACACTGATTGTACTTAGCTACTGTTCTATAACAAGCAAATAGAAAAAACCAGTGTAGTGTGTCTTTGAAGGATGAGGGTAGCAAATTATCTGGGAAGGGCCACTACGTAACTATCTGGGGTGATGTCAAAATTCTCTATCTTGATATATTACATGCATTAAACACAGGTCATAGAATGGTTTAAAAGCGGAAATGTTCAACTATCTTAAAAATCTATAAACTCATTAATACAAAAGTTTAAAGCATTTTTCAGGGAAGTATGTTGCTGTGTGCAACTTATAAAGAATTGATGGGATAGATTGTTTTTCTGGAACTGGAGTGGAGCTAATGCTATTCACAAAATGACAATACACACAATACTTTACATACATTACTTTTTCTGCCATCTTAACGCTCAGCTACATTCCTTTTCTGAGTGATGAGTTCCAATCAACTTGCTATATAACCCAAACGCAATGCCCTGTTTTAGGTGCAAATGAATACAAATTAGTCAGATGTGTATAGTAGTTAGAGCAAACAATCTGAAAACTGCAGATAGAGGCACATCACATCATGTGCTGTTGGTTTAACAGCACTTCTGAAGACAGTGGTGCAAAGTGTTTGGAATTCACTGCCACAACTGTTGTTACTGACCTGTTTTCCCCCAGGAGTTAGGCAGGAAATGGGTAAAAGCGCTACAGTATATTCTTATATTTTACCTTCTAGATCTTAGGTGTTCCCATTTAATTTTTAGGGTGAAGATTAAATGAAATCTAAATTACACTGCTTCATATCTGAAAGTTCACTCCCCAATAAAAGAGGCCTAAGTCACAGGAACAGGCCACCTCAGTGACTCTGGAGGTTCTCTTGCGACTGATCAAGTGCCAGCAGTGCATCAGAACTAGTGTTTGAGGGAGGGGGGCAAGCAAAACACACTTGAAAATCTAAATTCCTGATTTCAAAAAAGTAAGAAAAGAACCCATCGCCACAAAAATATGTTAAAGTTTTATTGTTTCAATACAAAACATTCCAAAAAATGAAAAGTGACCTATAATACCTAAGGTCTACACTCAACTACCAGTTAAACAATGAAAACATTTTATCATTCCATTTCTTTTACAACCAGTTTAAAAGCCAGAAAAATCAAGACCAATTCTTTTTCCCACAGGAACAGAATTAAGTCTGCTGGTTCAATAAACAATGTGTGAAATAGGTGTCTGGTCTTTTAAGCATACTTCTTACTTCTAATATTCATATTTACTACAATTCATCTCTATATTCTACTCTAACTTCAAGATATCTAAAATCTCAAGAACCAAAAGGTCCTCACAGTTAATACCCAAGTAATTAGATTATGGAAGGACTGAGCCAAGACAGCTACATTCAGTAGAACTGCTATTTAAATTTGGTCAATACCCTCATGGTCTATTAGAAAAAAGTCAAATGAGGGTTAAAAATCTTGGATTATTGGGCCAGCCCGTGGCTCACTCGGGAGAGTGCGGTGCTGATAACACCAAGGCCACGGGTTCGGGTCCCATATACAGATGGCCGGTTTGCTCACTGGGTGAGCATGGTGCTGACAACACCAAGTCAAGGGTTAAGATCCCCTTACCGGTCATCTTCATTTAAAAAAAAGAAAAAAAAAAAATCTTGGATTATTTCCCTCAATTGTAAATGTTAAACACGATAGTAATGCTGTTAATTACCATGCAAAAAAACTCGGAAGTTGGTTCCTCTAACCCAACAACTCAAACTCGTTTCCTTTGAGAACATTAATTAGCATTTATACTATTGGTTCTAGTCTCCAAAGCAAAAAACTAAAATTTTATCATGATTTGATTCCAAGATTGGGATGTAGGGATAAAGCAGGTTTATAACACAATGCAGTTCAAAAAAACCCCAAGTGGCCTAATTTTGTTTCTAGGTTCTAGTATGCTTTCAATCTTAGTTTCCAGTTGTTACTTTCATTTCTAGATGTTCCTTCTCCCTTTAGTTTTGTAACTAAACCCTGTGGATAATCTAACACCAAAAAGTTTCAGCTGCTAAAAATCAGACTTCACTGTATGTAAGTAGACACTACTTACCATGCCTATCATTTTTCTAGCTCAACTTCCTGATATTCACAGAAAATTAAGTTGTTCTAAGTTAAAAATTTGCCCCCGTGACCTGAGCTAAATGAAATGAAAGCCAAAGCTGTAAAACCTACCTAAAGAACCACAAGAACTTCCTGACTAACTCCACTTACCAATTTCCTTATTTCCCTTCCTCCAATTGGCCAATTACTTATTTTAAGTCACTACCGCTCCCTAGTTAGTGTTAATCAACACTGATGCCTTCCTTAAGATCCACAGGAACTCCTGAAGGCAAAATCTATTGCCTGCACCAAACCAATTCGGACGAGCACTGCTTTATGCAACTGTTGGAACTTAACAGTCAGCATTCTTCTGCTTCAACAACTCTGTAAAATAAAAAGCATGAGATCAAGTTACAAGGTATATCTGTCTTGCTGCAGAGTACTCCCCCCACCTATTCTCTAAATGACAGTACAAGAAGTACATGAAAAAAACAGAATTAAAAGATAAGTATGAAATCTTTCCACAAACTTTTAAAAGTACCTTCCTATACCTTTTTGTTGCTTTAACTGGCAATAAAAGGTTTTTGCTTTAAAGTGCAAACTCTAAAAAACCACCATAAATACCCACCACAATTACTGTAAGCATCAGCTTAGTAATACTACAATTACGTACTATATGTCATTATTATGTTACTCAAACTGGGAACTTGCAGAGGCAGCTGTATCAGTAACTCCATGTAGTCAATTTGTATTGTGGCTGTGCAAACAAGCAGGCACTGGTAACCAAAAGTATGTCCTTTTACAAAATGCATGGGAACAAGCTTGAATTTTGTAAGTGAAGTTTGTTCACATACCCAACCGTTAACTGTATAGCTATAGCTCCTGTCAAGAGAACACTTGCATATGAAGAGATATTAGCAAGCTTTATAGGTTGAAAATAGCTAAGAATAAATATTGCATGACTGAGCCACACTAATGGCAATGTACCTACGTAACCTTACTCTACATTCAAAACTGATGTGCCAGGTGTTGTATACTAAAGCACTTAATTTCATCCTCATCTCTAAGAGTTTGGTGTTAACCCCCTTTGACAGCATCAGACCATGTGTATTTAAACATTCGCAGGCCACTGCTTTCAAAACTTACCTTAGCATTTTATTTCTCTTGCTGCCAGCTTTATCTACTGTGAATAAATCAGCACTCCATGACCATAATGACCATAATCCTCAACCTGCAAAAATTAAATAGATAAAAACTAGTTATCTCTTTTAACAAAAACCTTCAAAATTTGCCTATAACTGCTCTCTTTTCCAGAAAGAAAAGGCAAGTTCAGACTTGCAGCTTAATGTATTTCGTGTTCTACTACTTCTCTTAAGTGGTGGAAGATTCACTGGCTTGGGATGGACTGGAATGGCTTAAATGGTTAAGTTGCATGGCTTATGGATTCTCATTCTGTTCCAATGGTGCACTGCCACGTTAAATCCATAAGTTGAACGGACAAAACTTATTTGAAGGAATAAGTGCAGTATAAGGATTTTTAGTTGGAGGTCTTCAAGTTTACTATATTCAAGAGCATCTTTTTCAACTTCATGGCTGGACCTGGGTCATGCTGCCTCAGGTTTTGCTTTTTAAAGACCACTTGCAATAGATTTTCTCCATACAGTGTAGTTTCATACAACTAAAAACAAGTCAGGCATCCAACTAAATGTCAAGTTTGCAATGGCTTACAGGAGTAGAGTGGGGGACCCCAAACTTAAGCCATTTCCTATATTGACTAAAAGACTAATTTGAAAAAAAAAAAATTAAAACATATGAAGCATGTTTAAAGGTCTTCGTCAAAAATGAAAAAGAAAAAAAAAAAAATACCCCCTCCCAAGCCCAGATTGCTATTGGTAAACAACAGCTGTTATTAAGGCCTTTAAGTGTCATACATGCTTTTAAAAAAATCCAAGTGTTGAATTTGGAGGACTTCTAATATGCTATTGAATATTTGCTTTTCCAAAAGTTTTTTTTAATCTAGAAGGCATTTCCATTGCCTTGAGGTACAGTAAGTTTCACTGTACTATGAGGAAGGTTAAGTGTTCAATTTCGACTTAGACGGAAAAACTAGTTTGCTTTGCTTACCATCTTTGCTGTTTCACAGGCATTTGATGCTTTAAATCTGATGTGGAATGCTGATAGATTCACTTTTTAGAAGTCATAAGCCTTTAGGAAGTTGGAGATAACTTCATTGCTTATCTATTTTCTCCTTTGCAATCAAGCTGTTCCTTTAAAAGTGAGACACTACAGAGTTGCAAAAATTTGAAACAGTAAGAGCAAGCATCGTTTGCAGCTTCATGGTTGGTTTTGGCCAAACTTTTTATTTAGTATTCTGTAGTTGTTTAACACACACTTAAATGGTCTTATTGGGGGAGGGGAAAGGGGAGGTTCTTGCAGATTCCCAAGGAAATGTCAGAGAGACAAAATATGGCCAGCATTATCCATTTGCTTTTTTGGGTTTACTGGGTGAAAAGTACTTTCCTTACATAGGCATCTGATCTCAGGTTTTTCATACTGAGAACATTGAGATTTCAGTTTGAAGACACCCTGAAATCCTAAGAGTAGCATACCCCAACCACCCTCTAATAGCTAGCTTGTTTGTATATAGGCAGAATGTTTCATCTCTCCATTTTAGATGGCTAGATGTTTGTGGAAGATCTTAGAAGTGCTTGCCTCATTATTGGGAAAAATCAGATAGGAAGTGGCCTTTAGGGACACTTTCAAGTTGGAAAATTACAACACTAGTACATCAAGTCAAGTCTTACACATTTAACATTTGCTTGTTGAAAGCAATGTCATAAAATCAAATAAAATTAAACATCTTTTTTCCTCACAAGAACATAAAAATTATTGAAGGGGAACTTAACAGGAAATTTTTAAAAGGTAACACAATTTTTCCTTTTAGTAGTCCTTGGGTAGTTATGACAGAATAGTTTCCACTGTTTGTTTGTTTCTTTGAACAGGGATTTTGGTCCAAAGTTTTGTTTGTTTCTAGTATCTGCTTCTGCCTCCCCCTCTATCAGATCGGCTTCCTCCACGGCCACCACCTCTTGGTGCTCCGCGGCTTGAACTGCTGTAGGAATCACGTGGAGGAGGGTACCCCCTTTCCATAGAAGGGGGAAGCCCTCTTTCTTGTCTGCCAACCCGATCACGACCACTTGAGTAGAGATCACTTCGGCTGCTTGAGTAACTGTCTCGACTTCCACCATATCCGTCACGTGAGCTGCTGTAATCATCATAGCGACTGCTTCCACCATAAGATGGCGGGGGCCCTCGTGTAGGTGGAGCACTACGTGAGTTACCTGCAGGGTCAATGGTCAGGTAATATGGCAACACTATAAATTGTATATATACAACATTTAAATCTGAATTTACAGAATTCTTGTATTAAAAGTTTACTTTCTCAACTGGGAGGTTTTAAACTCTGCCATTGCTGGCCATAACAGGGATTTGCTCATCTGCTGAGATACGGAAATGATTGATTTTAATGTTTGTTTGAAAAGACTGAAGACGGTGTACATTTCAAGAGGATATTCCAGACAGCTTGTTATTTTATAGGAGACACTCAGCCACTTTCCAGTGATAAGTTGCAATTTTGAACTGTTGACTTTCCTTCATATTGCAATGGTAAACATTTGATCTTGTTAATAAAATTTTTAAATTGTATTTTCACTGTTGGGGGAAAACACATAAGGCTGCCAATTTAAGCAAGCAAAATCCCCTCCAAAGCAAGCAAACAGCCTCAAAAAAACTTAGAAAAAACAAAAGCCCCTCACAAAACTAGGAAAAGCCCAGCTGATAAAGTTACCCCTTTTAAAAGCAAGCAATCATCCCTTTAAAAGCAAGCACCACGCAGCCTAATAAACTGGCTCATGAACCTGAAAACTCAAGCTGGTGATATTCAAGACCCTTAACCAGTATCTTACCATAACTCTCATATGAATCTCTGTAGGAACCGCCACTTGGATGATCTGAATAGTCACGATCACGACCATATCCATCTCTATCACTGAATTTAAATTAAAGAGCAACCTTTAAGTCCCAGAGCATCAATTTTTACAGCAAATTTTCTATAGTCAAGCTATGAAAGCAGTCACTTACCTATAGCCTCTTGATGGATAGTCATCACGTGAACTGGAATGACCATAATCACGGTAAGTATAATCTCTTGGTGGTGGTGCATAATCTCTGGTATCACGAGAACTTGGGTAATCTCTGCTTGAATAGCTACAGAAACAAAAGTAATGTGGTTCATACTTTTGAAGAGCTCTCCTTCAATCTTAATCATTAATGAAAAAGCTGCACTTTTCTGTTACCTGTCTTTTGTAGAATATCCATCATCTCTTGGAGACAAATAAACATCTCTACGAGAGGGCAGGGGTTCCCTTCGAGGTGGGCCTCCATAACTATCTCTTCCACGTGACACAGGGGCTTAAGGAAAAAAAAAAAAAAAAATCATTCAGAAAATAAAGCCAGAAAGTTAAAACGTGAAATTACATTCAGGCTATGAAAAGCAGTGATTCAAACAAACATGACAACAGCTAACTAAATGAGGAAATTTTCTTCCCTAGAATTTACTACTCACACCTAAAATACTTTCAGTGCTAATTAACTGCATTTATCTAGACTGCCTGGTGTCCATGAGCCAAATTTTAAGTATCATTTTTAAGATTCACCTCAATTCTTTCTTGGGTTATGGTAGTACCATATTGTTATACATGGAACACTTACCTCTTCCTCCCATTCCACTGCTGCTGCGAACTGGTCCTGATGGGGCAGATCTTTTAGGAGGAGGACCCCCACTTCGCGGTGGTGGTCCTCTTTTTACTGGGAGTGGTCCCCTGGAAGAACTCATGTTAAAATTCATTGAATATCCACCATCATCTACATTAGAATAGAAAAGAAAAATAAGTTAACACAAGAATCAAGAAAGCTATGTTTTCTTTGCTGGATCAATAATATAACCATCATTCAGCTGGGCAGTCTAGCTTTAGCTTTCATTTGTACAAGACTGGGCGTGAGAAAGTCATAGAGGAGGAAAATAAAGATTGAAAGGTCGTCTTAAAATTACTTCAAAGAAAAATACAGATTGTTTCATTTCCGTATGCCCAACACCTATTCCTATCAAAAATAGTGTTTTTTCTATAGAATGAACTTCTTGGACAAGGAACAGTATACTGTCTACCACTTACATTAAAACCGTAATTTAAGTTAGGATGCCTTCTATATTTTCCTTTAAGTCATAATCACTTTGGTAGATGAGCAGGTGTTCTCAATTTCAAAAGCTAGAGCCTAAACAAGTATTTAACCAAAGCATGCACTGGTGTGGGCTTACAGTTCCTAACATACACCAAACCAAGCCCAAGGTTCGTTCACCCAAGTCATTACCCATGTGCCCTCCACGTGAGGGAGGTCCCCTGGTTCCTCCACTTCCTCCTCTTCCACCTCTAAGACCTCTCGGAGGGCCTCTGCTTCTTGGAGGGGGAGGTGGTCCACGTCTACCACTTTCAAATGATGGTTTGGTGGCTTGTTCCACCTTGATGGCTTTTCCATCTAAGGACTTAAAATAAAAGGTTAAATTATATCAAGATTTAAAAAGAAGCTGTAATTCCACTGTGCACTATAACACTAATAAGTCCTTCAAATGCAGTTATAGTTAAGTTTTGCTCACCAATTAGTCTTAGAAATGTTACAAATTCAGGGGCCGGCCCGTGGCTCACTCAGTAGAGTGCGGTGCTGATAACACCAAGGCCATGGGTTCGGATCCCATATAGGGATGGCCGGTTCAGTCGTGGTGCTGACAACACCAAGTCAAGGGTTAAGATCCCCTTACCGGTCATCTTTAAAAAAAAAAAAAAAAAAAGAAATGTTACAAATTCAGTGTTTGTGTAAATGGACTTTTTTCTTTACTCAAAATGCTTACTCAATTGCTAATAACGATACTGATGATCTGAATCAAAGCATAAGGTTGATCCACTGCACTGCTGTTCAATAATATTTAAAACAGGGACAGGCAGGTATCAACTTATGGAAACTAATAACCAAAGATAAAAAGCCAAGTTAGTAAGTTATGGTTTACGGATCCCAAGATAAAACACAGTATATATTGTGTAATATATACTATAAACTGTGAAACTCTTAAAATAAGTATAAACCATAACTTCAGCTACAAACTTTGTTTCTGGAATTACAGAACACCCTTTGGAATAGGACTACAAAGGGCTATGATCAGAGCCTTCTGGAGAAGTACATAGTCAAAAACAGTAAAATTCAAGAGCTGCCCTGAATCAGACTTGGGTAACAACACATGCTATTTCATGCACTAGAAAACACGGAATCATGCAGCCCACAGCCAAGCTCACCTTTCCATTCATGTCTCTGGCTGCATCTTTAGCATCTGCTGGGCTTTCAAAAGTGACAAAAGCAAATCCTCTCGATTTGTTCGTTTCACGGTCTTTCATCAAGAGTACTAAAAAAGTAGTTTTCAAAAATAAAGTGTTAGTCTAGTTCAAACGAAATAAAAAAAAGTAAATCTCTAAAGAGAAAGCTCAGAACTTCTTAGAGGACAAAATACATTATCATGTCAGACGATCAATGCAATCAAATTCATCACAGCTTATCTTTTAATTATAGCAGTCCATCCTGTATTTTCCTACAACTCACCTTCCACTATTCGTCCATATTTTCCAAATACAGCTTCAAGGGCTTTCTCGTTTGTTTCTGTATTAAGCCCACCAATGAAGAGCTTTCCTGGGCGATCTGCTTCAACCATTTTTCCCCGGTGAAAATCTGCTCAGAAAGAATAGTATTACCTCCCCGGAAAAAAGTTCCTCAAATTTTCCTGACATTTTACTGTGGTGCAATTTTGTTTTACTAAAACCATTACTCCACCACAATAACTAAAGAAACAGATTATCTTTTTCTAAGCTCAGCCACAGCAGGAAACCAACTTAAGCAGTTTAGTAACAGCGCAATTTACATTAAACTGGTTAAAAGGAACAACTTAACTTTCATCTCCACTCTTAATCCCCTGTGGCTGTTTTTAATCAATCAACAACTACTTAACATTTGAGAAAGCAAATTTTAGCATAATCCTAGGTTTTTGTTGCCTTTTAAAATCCAACTACTTGTCACAGACTCCCTTCCTAAGGATGGGGACTTAAAAGACTACCGACTCATTCAAGGTCACAGGCCAGACGCACGACCTTAACACCAATCCCTCTTCCAAGGACTCCTCTTTCCCTCATTAAGATTCCATAGTAAGTCTAAGCAGAAATCTTAAGTATGAGCCACGATATACTGCCTCTTCTTCACCAGCCCCGGCCCCGCCGAAAAGCTCGCTATCCGCCCCCCAAAATAGTGTCAACATCGTTTCATGTTAAATAACGGAACGTGGAAGCGCACAGTGTGACACTCAACACTCCATGACCGCGGCGGAACCCAATTAAAACTCCTTATTAAAAACCTCGTGGAAAAGACAAAATGGCGACACTTGGATTAAGCCCAGAACCACCGACGCCAGTCAGAGCACTAACTTTTACCATTAACACCGCCTGGGAAAACTCAAAGGGCTTCCTCTCCAGGGCCGCCGATGAACAAGAAACCCGCATTAAGTTCACAAGCCCACCGTTAGCGCCAGCGCCATCCCAATGCAGGTACCGCGGTGGCGCGGTCGCTCCTATTCCCGCTCTAGCCTACAAAGCCTCGACCTCCTCACCACTCCCGCAGGCGACAACCAAACTTTCTCGAAATGCATGTAACGAAACGGACCCCCTAATATGTTTTCCATCGACTCCCTTCAGCTTTATTTAAATAGGCCGGCACCTTTGGGTTCTTAAAATGGCGTCCGCCACCCCCATCTCCAGGGAAATAATCCCAAGTTCTAACGTGGCAAGAGCGTACGAAAAACGGACTAAGGAAGGGATACACGTACCGGAGGGATGACGACCGTCTCAAGCTCCTACAAGCTCCCTGACAGGCACTTCCTAGCGGCTCAGCACGAGTGACTGCGGACGGATCCGAAGACCAAACACATAAACCGCCACCACTGCTGCGCAACGAGGGCGAACAAAGGAGACAGCAAACTTTATAGTGCCCGGGAACGAGGCTGAAGGACCCGGATGGAAACGGAGCTCAGTATTTGAAACGGGAAGGGAGGGGGAGGGATTTTCAGCCTCCCCATTGGCTGATTACTGTGTCATTCACTTTTCGCTCCTCCCCTTACCCGGGCCCTTCGCGTTCTGGCCGGCGCCCGTTTCTAACCGTCTTCCCTACCCCCTCCCCTTCTCTACAAACGCGCGTTTTTGCTTTCCGCTAAGATGGTGCACAGGCTTCGTTTAATAAAGAACTGAAATTTATTGAGCGTCTTCGGGGGCGGGGTTACGGTGCAAAGCTTTACTTTTACTTTTCCATTAACTCTTTTATTTCTCAAAGCAACTTGAAGATAGATACTACTATGCTAATTTTGCAACAATAGAAAACAAAGAAATACAAATTTAACTGGGCATCTGTATTTCATCTGCCCATGCTACTTGTGGGGGGAAAATTACAAAAAAATTTTTAAAAATTAAATACGATTAACAAATAAAATGATGTGATTAGTGCCAGGGAGAAAGTATACTAGGTGCTTTGATGGACAATATTAGGGAGACCAAATTTGATTAAGAATCAGGGAAGATCTATCTAAAGAGGTGACTTTGGAGATCAGAATCGAAGGGAGAGAAAAAACCTTCTATGGGAAGAGCTGAGGGTAAAGCCGTTCAGGAAAAGAACACTAAGCACGAAGTGGAAGGAAAGAGCTCAGCATATATCAAGGGACCGAAAGAGGGCCAGGGTGACAGAAATTAAAGGGGCATCAAAAGAGGGCACCAAGGTAGGCAAGACCTTTGAGCCCATTAAAAGATTGTAGAAAGGGCCGGCCCGTGGCTCACTCGGGAGAGTGTGTTGCTGAGAACACCAAGGCCCCGGGTTTGGATCCTATACAGGGATGGCCGGTTAGCTCACTGGTTGAGCGTGATGCTGACAACACCAAGCCAAGGGTTGAGATCCCCTTACTCGTCATCTCTAAAAAAAAAAAAAAAAAAGATTGTAGAGGGACAACTGTGGAAGCAGGGATAACAATAGGATTATGCCAGCAGACAGGAGAGAGAGGATGATGGCTTGAGTTAGGCTGGTGGCAGTGGACGTAGGGAGGAAGAAACAATTGCTAGATGTATACAGAAGGCAGCATGGACAGGATTTGCTAATGAATCAGGTTGTGCTATGGTCTGAATGTTAGTATTCCCCCAAATTCATATGTTGAAATCCTAACCCCCAAGGCAATGGTATTAGGAGGCGGGGTCTTTGGGAGGTGATTAGGTCATGAGGGCAGAACCTTTATGAATGGGATTAGTACGCTTATAAAAGAGGTCCCGCCCCACTTCCGTCCACCATGTGAGGACATAGTGAGAAGGTACTGTCTATGAACCAGCAAACTGGTCTCAATCTGCCAGTGCATTGATTTTGGACTTACCAGTCTCCAGAACTGTGAGAAATAAATTTCTGTTCTTTATAAGCTACCCAGTCTATGGTAATTTATTATAGCAGCCTGAATGGACTAAGACAAATGAAGAAGGGCTGGGGAGGAATTGAGCAAACAGGGAAAATTATTATGATGACTCTATCTGGTATTAATAGAACAAATGGTGATGGCTATTTACCAAAGTGGTTGCAGGGCTGGCCCGCCTGTGGCTCACTCGGGAGAGTGCGTTGCCGATAACACCAAGGCCATGGGTTCGGATCCTATATAGGGATGGTCAGTTAGCTTACTGGCTGAGCGTGGTGCTGACCACACCGTGCCGAGGGTTGAGATCCCCTTACCGTTCATCTTTTTTTGTTGTTGTTGACTGGTAAGGGGATTGCAACCCTTGGCACGGTGTGGTCTGCACCACGCTCAGCCAGTGAGCGCACCGGCCATCCCTATATAGGGTCCGAACCCGCGGCCTCAGCACTACCAGTGCCGCACCCTCCCGAGTGAGCCATGGGGCTGACCCCGGTCATCTTTTAAAAAAAAAAAAAAAAGTGGTTGCAGAGGAGCAAATTTAGGATGTAGGAACAGAGAAATCTGATGCTCAAAGCAGAGATGTATGCTCAGTTGTCTGTTTAGAGATAGTAATAAAAGCCATCGGAATGGATGAAATCAGGATTCAGATCCCTGTAAAGTCCAGCCACCAAAAAAAAAAAAAAAAAAAAAAAAAAAAAAAAAAAAAAAAGAAAGAAAGAAAAGAATGGATGAAACCAACAAAGAAGAAAAGAAAAGACGGCCCAAGATCACATAATATGAACTATTAAAAAATATATACACGTATGGAGAGAAATCAACAGGGAGGAAATATTATAAAATATTGCCATTTTAGCTTGAGGTGACTGGTGCAATTTATGGATAATTGTTACTTTTCTTCTTCATAATTACAATTACCTGCCCATGGTGAATTATGGTATATGCATAATATGCTGTAATATCCAGGCAGGTTGTAGTAAATAATGCTCAGGTCATGGGTAAAAGCTCCCAAAGAGCTTTGGAACCATCTCTGAATTAATAACATTAATGGAAAGAATAATGCTCAATAGGACAAGAATATTTGTTCTTGTTTTTTTCCCAACCAAATAATAAGTAAAGCAAAAGTCATTTCTATCTGCCTTCAGGATTATTGACTCTGGTGATAGTTGGGAATTGGCCAGGTTGGCAAAAATGGCTTAAGTACCAGGCTCAGCAAGCAGAGCCTGTACCCACAGGGAGAGCCAGGAAAAATGTCTCACCCTGGAGAAGCAGGCATTCTCTTTCTCTGTCTCAGATCCAGACAGAAGGACTTCAGAACACCCCCTAGGCTCCAAGTCTAAGCCAGGTCTCCCCCAGGCTAGGGTAGAACAGGACAGGCTCCACAATAGATGTCCCTGAACCCCGAGTCTCAAAAAGGAAATGTGAGTACCTGTAGACCAGATCACTCCGGCCTTTGCAGTTAGTGACCAGAAATGTAGGGGAGGTGGAGAATACAGTGCTCTAGATGGGGGGGGGGGGGGGGGGC